GGGCCGGGTGATGGGGGCGCGTGTCCGCGGGGGAGTTTCCTTTTGACCCAGTTGCCTGAGAACTTTTCAGAAGTTCCTCTCGTGGCCGGAGCAGGTGACATTTGTCTCTTTCTGCCTCGGGCTCCCCCCGGGGGCGGATGCTGGGGCTGCGGCGCGTGCCCGGCGCCCCTGGGAGGCGGGATCAGGGAGCCGGTGGAGGGATGAGCCTGGAGGAGGCTCCGTGAGTCACGGACCCTGGGAGGGAAGGGGGTGGAGGGAGAGGGATCGTGTCGTACACTCACCTGTTTGTCAGTCAGTCGCCGTCACCCGCGGAGGCCACCGGGGTGAGTCACGGGCGCAGCGACACAGGCCACCCCGGGGCACTCGCGGCTGCGGCCCACGCGCGCCTTCTCCCTTCCCCAGCACGTACTTCCTCCCGGTCCTCAGTTTCTCCCACCCGGGGGCTTTTCCAGCGGCGCGTACCGGAGACGCCGACTCCACCGCCACCGCACCGCCACACACTTAGTCACTCCTGCTCCCCGGCACAGTCACACGCATAGCCCACACTCGTGACACAGAGGGTCCCTCCCCAGCTCCACCGCCCACCCCCCACCTCCATTCAGATGTCCCGCAGCCCTCTGGAGCGGCACTCGTCACCTCGCCCCCCAAATCCTTGACATCGCTGCCCTCTTCGGTCCCCACATCCTGAGGTCACCAGGTTCATTCCCCTTTCTCCCGTGTCCTTGCCCTGTCATCTCTCACTGAGCTCGGGCTGCGAGGTTTAACCGGTCACACCCCCTCCAGTCCCGGTGCTGAGCCATCTTTTTAAAATGCAAATCTGGTATTGTCACTCCCTATTTAAACCCTGCTGTGGCTTCCTGTGCCCTCAGGTTAAAGCCTGACCCGGGAGCCCTGGCTCTGCAGCCTCCTTGGAGCCCCTCCCTCCCCGCCACTCTGGCTCTCCTCTCTAGTCCCTCACTCCTGCTGAGCCCCCTCTCTGGAACCCTTTCTGCATCCTGGGAGAGACCTGTCTTCACTGCCAGCTGCATCCCTCCTGCCCACCCCTTCTACCCACCATCGGCGCACACAGCAGGGCTTGTAAACTCTGATTATACTCCTGCTCACTGAACTCAAAGCTTCAAGGGGCGGCACTAACGCCCGTCGTGCTCCCACTATGCCCAAGTGCCTGAACAGTGCTCAGCACCTCATAGGAGCTCAATAAATATTTGTTGAATGAATGAATGAGAGTGAAGGAGGCCTGGCTGGGGTGGAGGAAGCAGTTGCTGTCAGGTGCAGTTTCCCTGCTGCAGCAGCAATTGCCTCACTTAGCCAGCAAACATTTGGCACCTACCCCAGTGCCAGGCCCTGGAGGCCAAGGCGGAGGAACTGTCCCCTCCCCCCATCCCTTTCAGAGGGAGAGGTGGGGGAGGGGTGTGCCAAGGCTTCCTATCTGCCCTCTCTGGGCTGCCCAGGCTGTTTCTCCAGCCAATCCCAGTGGGGGCTTGAGGTGCTGAGAGGTGCCCTCCCCTTCTCCCAGGTAGTAGTGCTTGAGAGCCTTGGGGTCATGTCACCCCAGGTATTGGGGGTAATTGACCTGCCCTAGGCCAGGGGCTCTGAGGTTAAAAGACACATTTTTCAGATTCTTGGAGTTGGATGGAGGCTGCTAAAGGTGCCCCCTCCCCAGTACTAGCTTGGGGTGGGGGCTGGGGCATTGGGACTGTTGAGGTGCACAGAGGAGTTGATGTATCTTTTTCAGAGTCCCCGAGATTCTGTTGCGCCCCCCCTCCCCCAACTACCACCCCAAATGGCCTTTGTTTGTTTGGTGCCCAGGGTGAGGTGGCCTTCCCTGGATTCACATAGTATGGCCTGAGTGTGTAGATAGTTGTCGCAAGTGGGGTGGGGAGGTATGCCCCCCCGGCCCTGGGCTGTCAGCTCCTGTGTGTGGTGGCAGGAAGGCGGTCAGATTCTCAGGGCCCAGGCAGATCCCGGAAGAAGCCTGGTTCTCTTTGATTCAGGGCCTGTCTCCGGGGCTCCTGGGGGTGTGGTATTTCTGTCTGAGCCAGCTCCTGGGAATTGCTTTTCCTTCCTGCAGGACCCTAGGAGGGGGCTGTGCTCACCCTGGGAACTGTGCCACAGCCGGGATCTTGATTCCTGGGTAGCTGCTGGAGGCCCCTCCCCCACCCTCTGACTCACTGTCTGACACTTTTCTTGGACTCTTCCACTATCTTTCATTCCTTTTTCTGACTTGGCCTCTCGTCTCTGGCGGAGTCTTTTTTTCTTATCTCTGGCCTCTGCCTCTCAGCCTTTGGATTCCCAGGTGGGACAGTGGCGCTTCCCCCTCCCCCCACCCAAAGGAGTATCAGGGAGGAGGTGATTTCTCATTTCATTCCAGGCCTGCAGATCCTGCTGGGGTTCATCACAAAACCTGCAGTGCGGCCGTAGCTCCCCTATACCCTAGTTTCTCCATCTGCAGCCTTGGAGCTTATAACTCCTTGCCTTAAGTTCCCATTCTGTAGATATCCTGCGGCAGAACCAAGGTGTCTGACTTAAACCTGCTTCCTCGACCTGTCTAGTTGACAGGGCACCTCCTGAGATTTCTGGGTTGGCACCTGCTTGCAGCCAGAGCTTTCTTCTCCCTCAGAGCCACCCCCTTCTGGGTACCATTCTTGTTCAAACCCTGTGCTGCAAGCTGGGGGAGGGGCGTGAACCCTTCCCCCCTTTAACTGTGATGGGATCATTAGATCACACTTACCACTCACCCCCGAGAACTTGTGCTTAATCTTGTTTCTGTGTTTATACCTGATATAAAGCTCCCACCTGCCTACCTCTGATGGTCCTCAGGTGCCTTCTCTATGCCATAATGTGTTCTAGGCATGGGCACAATGACAGCCAGGCTGAGAGGCCCTCAGCCTGGTGTGAGGGAAATGAGCAGTGAGGCCACTGGGAGGTGGAGCGGTGAGGGCTGTGATGTCGGGATCCCAGGACCCAGAGAGGCGTGTAGTCAGTGAGGAGTGGGGGTTTCAGGGAGGCCCTCTTGGAGATGACTTCCACAGGGGGTGAGGCTGAGTGTCAGCTTGTGCGAAGGCCAGGAGGTGGGCAGGTCATGGCCATTAGGGGCACCACAAGTTCAGCTGGTGTATAAAGTGAGAAGGGGTGGGGAGACTTACAGGATGAGTCTGGAGGATAGGCGGCAGCGAGGCCTGCTTGGGTCTCGTGGGGTTCTGGACTTGATCCTAAGGGCAAGCTCCCCTAAGGGGAGCTCCGGAGTGATTCTAAACAAGGGGTGGCAGGTAGATAGGGGATTTAATAAGACACTCTGGCTGTAGGGTAAAGAATGGCTATGGGGAGAGGACAGGAGCAGAGGCAGGGGACATGGGTAGTAGCAGCAGGGGCAGACACATGAGGGTAATAAACTTTTAAAATTATAGGTGACATGCATGAAGTATATGAATTTCATGTGTACATCTAGATGGATTTTTATGGTTTTAGACACCCATGGAACAAATCTCAACCCAGATCAACTCCAGACTGCTCCATCCCCTCTCCAAAAGATTCCCTCATGTCTGTCCCCAGTGCATCCCTCCCCTCCCCCGGTAACCAACCATTCTTCTGATCTGTATCATCACTGATTGGGTCTGCCTTTTCTTGAGCTTCATTCACATGCATTCTTGTGTCTGGCTTCTTTCACCCAACATGGGATCAGTGAGATTCATCTGTGTGTGTATCCAGGAGCTCATTCTTTTTTTCACGGTGCAGGATGACATAGCCACTAAGCGCCGAGCACTAAGAACTTGAGATGTATTGACTAATGTAAGCCCCCTAACCCTGCGAGGTTTTATGACAGGGTTGGAGTGGGGAGGTTAAGAAACTGACCCAGGGTCACTCAGCTAATTAAGAACTAAGCCAGGGTTCAAATGCAGGCAGTCTGGTTCTGGAGCCAAGGTTCTGAACCCTATGCTGGGTGGGCTCCATGATGCCTACTGAGTCGGTGCCTGGCCTTGTGCCGATTAAATGAGCTAATGTGCGACTGGATGTGGATGGAAGGAGAGGGAAGGAGCAGTTGAGGATGACTGCAGGTTTCTGGCTTGAGTAACTGGGTGGGTGGCAGTGCTGTTACTAAGATAGGGAACACAGGAAGAGGAACAGATGGC